CGGACGTAATCCATTAAACATGTTGAGAATAAGAGATAAAGAGGAAGGATCTGCGATGACTGCAGAAGGTTCGGTCATAACAAGCGAAGATTCTGCTATTACGAGCGAAGGCTCTGCTATAAAGAACGAGTGAGATCGTTTTTTCGGTTATTGAGTGACATTGAGACAGTATTCAGTGCATTCCTAGACCAAATATTTTATTTGCGTCATTTTAAATCCGTCCTAATAACCTTCATCGCCTTTCGCCATCCTCCTTTCTTCCTAAATATGGTTATGTTGAGTTAAACCGATTAGTTGACTAGGACAAGATTAATTCTCTGGATACATTTGTCGAATTCAAGTGGAAAAGTGTAGATTATGGCGCACCAGGTTTCATATTGTTTTTTCATTTTTTATATAGAAGCTGGGAGAAAGCCGACCTAAGCTCAAAGAAAACCCATATTTTTACCCTTACTGGCGAATCGATATTTCACCAGCAGGCTTTAAAATGAGGGTCGACACTCCGATTGTGGGCTGCGAATTCGAAATGATTTTCATTGAAAAAACCTTCAGTCTTCGTTGTCAGCTTCAAATGACGAAATTGAGATGTAGATGCTTTAGCCGCTATCATCAATATTGTATTCTGTGAAAATCTATAAATTGCTTGAATTCAATAAAGGCTGTGGTCCATATGGTGAATATGTACGATTCGCTCTATTTATTGTTGAGCCCTAACATTTTAAGTGGCCCGCCAGGGTAGTGTGAGGACTCTTTAACCCTTTAACTCCCATGACTGACCACGACACATTTTCTCCTTACGATTTCAATACAATATTAAACAAACAACTAATGAGAATAAGGAAAATATAATTTAAGTGGATTATCAGTTGACCCAATACCAATTTCTCCAAATTACCATCTGAAAAAAAATGGTATGATAGACAGAAAGGAGCATTACTAATAAGATCTTTAGAGTGAAAGGGTTTATCTTGAGGCCTTTATATCGATGTTTAGTTAAACACGAGTTATTGCCCCTGTAATTCGCAGTAAATTTTTATTCACAATGTACTATGAACCCGGTGCATCCCCAAGTAAACATCAGGGATCTTTTCGCCTGCACAGCTGCTGCAGTCATTTTTGTTTCACCATTGAAGAAAGGCATGATATTGGTCCTTAATTTAAAGAATCATGGAACGGCAACAAATCTCTATCAGTTTGAGCTACAGAGCTATACATATATAGCTAATGTCTTGAAGAATGTAATCAGGCTGGGATAAGCTCAAACTATTTTACATAACCTCTTTCCCTGCAGCCGGTAGTCTTTTCGGCATACTCAGATGTTGGAGGTTTCGATAGATGTCGGCCGTCTTTGTCAAAACGTGTTAAGACTGATGGCTGATAGGCATCAGAACTGTCAACATCTAACCATAAAGTGTAATTTTTATCATCACCTGCCGCGGAGAATTTCACGTTAAATTTCATACTAACGGATAAGATCGAACGAACTATATCGCACGAATCGTGTATCGAATTGCAACGCGTCCCGGCAATGTAGCATGTTAGTCGGCTGCCAATGGTGTATTTTATTTTGGTGCCTTTTATTTTAATTCGACATTAAGGTAGCTCTGCTTAGTAACATAATTCCTCTTGTGATTTGATCTTAGCTATCCATGCGCCATAACCTCCCAGCCAGTGGAATTAAAAGGGAAAACATGCAGCGGTCTGCTAAAGTCTCCTCGTTAAAATTTCACGTTTTTTTAAAAAGCGTCGACAAAGCTGCGCGAGTACAGAACCGAGCGGCTTTATCCGGACTGGCTTACGTCAGCATAATGGTTTTCTATAGCATTACGTTGGGCGAGAGACAAGACATCCGCAAAAAAAAAAGAAAAGAAAAATGAATGAACAAACGAATAAATAAATAGCAAAATTAAGCGCACTTGGAGATACTAAAATCGAAAGACAAAGAAGAATGGGGTGCTTTCGCGGAGACCGTTATTATAACATATTTCCTCAATTTTTATTCTTTTTTTCCGTTGCAAATTGGTTTTAATCCTGACAAAGCTTAACTGAGTGCACTCAACAAGACAAAACAATCGCAATAATATGGCTGGCCATTTCTTTCATCGTCTAACTAGCAAATGATAATGTAAATATTGATTGTAACGAAGATGATAATAACAATAATGCAAACAGTGTCTATGGTGAAGCGACATGTCACTGGAATTACACAATTTTGCAAATTCTCATCGAAATAGTGGTCTTTTTATTTTAAAAAAGGTAAACCACAGTGTGAACGGTAAAACACACAAAAGTTACGATTTAAGCATTGCCTGCTTTAATGATTCAGAAGAGGGAACTAAAAATTTGCATTTCAGTGAATTAATATTTAAGAATCTAGCTACTGGTACCTGTTGAAGACATCATGGCAAACTCAAATATCATTTCTTCTCTGGCAATTTTAACCAAGCCACTGTAGGTAATGAATCTCGTATTCGAACCCATGAGCTTTCCTCAAAATCACTGTTTAAAGTAAACGAATATCTCTCAAAGGAGAAGGCATTCTAATAACACTTCTATACCAGGTTACTAAATATTGCTTTCTATGCCTCTCCTTAAGAGAAGGGGGGAGTACCTACGATAAACTATAGACAGGGTTGCACCTCCAAGGAGTTTGACACTTTCAGGCTAAAAGTATGTAGAGAAAGGGGTTTGAAGGGCTACGGTAAAGAAAACAATAAGGAAAGCTGCAACTGACGCTTTAAATTGAAGATTACAAATGTTGCAAAAGAAAAACTGAAATGTATAGAAAATACTTTTAATTTCCCCTCTTCATGCTACTGCAAGACGTTTAAGTGTTGTGTTGATTTACTGAATTTAGATGAAAAGTACCCCATACTACAAGGAAAGTACACATATGCGAAATATATATATCGAGTTGCTCAATAGTTCTTCGTCAATTAGGAAGAAGTATTTGAAAGTCAGGGTAGGAAACCCCACCCCTGCCTCTCTATAAAATTAAAATGAATGCACCCTCCCCCGGTTCGCGTTCAATTTGAAATGTGCATCATAAC